AAGAGTGTTTCACCAGCCCATTTACACTGGCTGTAGCAACAGAGATAAAAATGCAATCCATCACACTCCAAGCAGGACCCCCTCCTCGCTGCAGGCTCAGGGTTTAACCATTTGACATCCAAGCGAGACTCTTCTAGGCAGATACAAAGACCGAGAAATAAGGACTGGAAAAATCTACAAACCAGAAAACAGAGCAAAGCCAGGTATGGAAAATTCAATGCCTTGCTCAAAATTAGCTGCCCAACATGAAAAAAATGAAAGCTGCTCCTGGACTGCAAAGCAGCAGGTTTCCAGGGCTGAGGAGGTGGTGGGACCTCATAGATCATGCCAAGGCACTGGCACATCCTGAACCCAAGCTCCTGAACCCCAGAAAGGGAGATACATCAGCCGGGTGGCGTGGGAAGCACTCCCAGAGCGTCTCACATGGAGCAGGAGTGGTGATACAAAGAAAAAGGGTTAATTATTATTTTTAACCAGTGCCTGGAGCTGATAAACTGATGGTAAAGGCAACCCAGGGATGCAGGTAACTGCCCCAGCATCTCCCTCATGGTTGTCTGGGCCAACTGTGCCCAGCACCGCTGATGGCTTCGGGTCTGGCCATGATGGCCCCGGGGTCGGCTCTGCCAGCTGGCCGAGCTGCAGCCACCAGGAGCAGGGCTTGCTGTCATGGTGGTGGTTCACAAGGGCCATCTCATGACTACACATGGTGGCCTTGCTTGACACCTCCAGGCTGACCCCCTGGTGTCCAGAGAGAAAACAGTCGTGAAGGAACAGCTCGGGGCAGGAGGGAGTACATGGACAAATAAACAAACTGCAGAAAACCTCCGAGAGAAAATAACCAGGCACGAGAAAGGAAAGGAACTCTAACAAGGATTAAAAATAGCAGCAAAGTGAGGAGTCAAGGTCCGCCAAGGCTCATGGTTCATTTTCAAGGGGAGGCAGGTTGGATGGGGCCTCCATGGTGGCTTAAAGATTCCAACCCATCTGACAGCAATAGGGCAAGGGAAAGTGGCCTGACTCCCAGCATGGCAGCCGGGGAGCTCTCAGGTCTAGCTGGTACCAGCATCAGATACGGTCATCTTTGGAAGCCCCTTGTCAAGCACTGCACCCATGCTCTGGGGTCATTCTGCAACCCCTGAGGCTCTGCAAGACAAGAGGGAAGAGCAGCTGGCAGAACCTTTCTCTCCAGCACTCAGGTGTGTTATTTTCCCTTAAATTCACATCAGCTCAGCAACCAGGAACATGAATCCCCTGGAGACCTGACCTTCTCCTCCTCCCCTCTGGGAAGCCAGAATTTCAAACAGATTTACTGATGCTGCCCTCCAGATGCTGTCATGGGATGACCTCAAAGTTAAAGACCGCCTGAGTACTCCTCAAACATTAGCCTTCGCTCAGTGCGACAGGACAAGCGGGCAGGGACTTCCTGCATGGCCAGCCTGGCAGCCGACTTGCTGTGTACAAGGAGCAAGACGGGTCAATGGGTGATGGACAGTATTAGTCCAGGAGTTGAAGGAAGGGCTCAAGGTGGGACATCTGGAACAAAAGCAAGAAGATGAGGCAGAGTGCTCCTTACAGCTTTTGCATGAGCAGATCTGGTTTTCCCATGCCAAAGCCTGAGGGACCATTCCCACTAAGAGTTTTCTGAAGGTCCTCTCCTCCAAGGAAGCTCCTGAGACCCTGCAGGACCACAGAACCCCCTTGGGTGATTCACGCTGACTCTCCGTGGGCTTGTCCTTGGAGGGAGCTGCCGCTGCACTGCAATACAGCAGATGTTTTTGTGGCTTGACCCTCTTTTGGCTGAGAAGAGCATCCCAAGTCTTTTGATGGCATCATCTGAGTGCCACAGATGCCCTGTCACCCACTGGCCTTTCTATGGGGCAGACAGACCGCCCCAACCTCATCTCCTGGGCTGAGGGCAGCAGCTCTCCCTGCTTTGCCTGACTGCTGCTTGAGCAGGAAGAGTTACCAAGCCGCAAACACCGGGCCTGCCAAAATCTCCTGTTCCTCAGCCAAGGAAGGGGGAGACATCACTGATGATCCATGAAGGATACCTGTAAGCCCCAAATCTTCTGGGCCAAGAGGCACTGTCAGTCCTCAGAGCCACCTCTCCTGTCTTTTAAGCTTCTAATTAAAGGTTTTAATGACCACTGCCTCTGGCCCTGCAGCAGTCTCCATCAGGCTCTTCTCCTTTCTTGGCCATAGACTGCTTTTGCTCTCAGGAAGAATCCAGCATTTGCCTCCAAAGCCCAGACATCCCAACCAGGCTTAAAGCACGCACCTGAGACAGCATCTTTCCTCCTGCACACCCCACACTGATCCTGTCTTTCTCCTAAAATAAATTCAAATCATTCCCTACAAGCATAGGAGGAGATGAACACCACCTCCCAGGTCTGCTGGCTGACCTGTACCCCACACACTCACTGCTGCTGGATGTTGGATCCAGGCTGTGAAAGCATGAAACCCAGCATGGCTGTCAGGACTCATTGGTACTTCTGAGTTCCCCCTCCTCTATATTGCTTGCTTCTGTCCCCAAAAATCTCCCTCTCTGCCTACAATTCCAATTTCAGCTCTTTTTCACAGCCTTGCCCTCTTTGATACCTCCGGGCTCTCTCTGCAATACTTTCCTGCACCAAAGCGATTGCTCTCTGTTCCTTGTTGGCACCTCAGAAGGACATATTCTTCCCACGGTTCATGGTGCTAGAGCATGGATCCCCACAACAGCAAAGCTGCACCTAACCCCAGCACATCCCACCACAGCCGGTGGCCCTGAGCTGCTTTCTCAGTTTGCATTTCCCCCAAGCCAGACTGGCCCCACAGCAAACCAACGCGAGCCCTGGGCTGATGGTCAGGGAGCAGAGTGACAAGGTGGCTGTCGCCAGACACTCCTCACTCCGGCAGAGGCCTGACTGTTGGATCCAAGCCCTCCAGCTGCAGGTCCTGGATGTCCCCAGCAGACACCCCCCCAGGAAAGCCCAAGCAGCCACCAGTCACATTTGCTGGCACAATGACAACCTTGCAGCCTCGCTCCGTGCCGGGCAGTCACACCGCTGACTTTGTCTCCCAACAAGCACAAACACACTTGGGGAGGGGACACAGCAGCACTGAAATCCACCCCCCCAGTCTCCTCACTCCAGCTGCCACTTCAGACGCTGAGCACGGAGGCGTCAGACATGTGAGACGCTCTCGCTGCAAGCGCGCTGCCCTTTGCAGCCAGCGACGAGAGCAGAAACGTGACCCACTCGAGCAGGCAGAGGTCAAGTGGGGAGTGGAGCGGCAGGCACACCTACGCTCTCTGCTCGGACTGAATCCTTCGAGAACATGCCAGCGCCTTGGCTGCGCTCCGAGACTCCATCATTACTGGATAGTTTGCATTTCCTTCTAGGAAGGCAGCCGGGAAGATCGACATGCGGTGCACAGCCCGCGGCTACAGGCTCCTGCAATGAACAAAGCTCTGACGCCGCGAGACGAGCGTGCCAGACAATGGCCTGTAATTTTCTTTGCCGTTCAGGCTCCGCAGGGACAGAAGGAGCAGCCCTGAAAGCCTTATTTTACAAAACCAGATGATTCCCTTGCACAAGGGGCATTCTCCAGGGAGCCTGGGGTGCTCCCAAGGTGCAGAATCAGCTCCTCCATCCCATGTGCTCACCCTCAACACGGAAGGAGCAGCCTGACCGGAGGAAGGTGAGGAAGACTGATGTTGATCTGAAGCTCAACAGACCTTTCTTGGAAGAAACAGGGGAAAAGAAAGGATTTCTGAAGAAGCTGGTTTTGCTCCAAGGTGTAAGAACCTCGGGCATCCAGCACACACAGAGTTACTGCCTGGGCTGTGGAGGCTGGCCTGCCCAAAGCCAGCCTGGCCTCAACCCGGAGGTGAACAAAGGTCTGACCCCAAGGGTCTGAACTAGACACAGCCAAGAAATGCACACGTAAGCCTGTAGAACTCTATGTAAAGCATACCTTGAAGAATTTAGTATCCTAGGATCAGGATGAGTGCATGAATCAGAGCTCAAAGGGGCAAGATGGGGGAAAAATTTAGATCCCCTTGAAGCAGAGCTCCTGAGGAGCAGCTGGATTGCTCTCACATGGGCAGTCCCAGGCGCCTGCAGCCCTTCCTCGCCCTGGGTTCCTTGCTCAAGAAGCTCTGCGATGAAGTTGCACTGTGGCTGTGCTTCACTGGCAGGATGGGGAGGGCAAAGCTCGCAACACTGTCCAGGATTTAGAGCCACATCACTCTGAATTTGGATGTGAGGTTTTTTGAGCCTTCCTTTTCACAGGGTGCAACATCTATGAGCTTTACATCATCTTTAGATCATCTAATGATCTTAAGGCTACTGTACATCCTCCCCGAGGATGAGACGAGGCTGTTCTGCTTCCAGAGGCATTTACTTGCTTGTGACCCCAGCTAGGCAGCCACACAGGTGTCAGAGAGGTGCCTCTTTCTGCTGGGTAAGTCAGTGCATCTCTGTCAGTTCAAAATAACATGCTGCAGCACGTGAGTTTGCACGAGTCTGAAGGGACAGAGAATTTTTGCTTTGTTTTTTAAAACCACTTGTGAAAACAAGAGGCAGATATTGAACCGGAGCCAACATCTGTATCTTTGTAAGACTCTCAATCACCAGCCTTTTGCTGACTCTAAAGCAATAAATATTCAGAGCCTTAAAAGCTTTTCTTCAATCTGCTTAGGAGAAAGCAGCCTCAAACAATGGCCAAGAAGGGATCTTGCCCAACCTCAGCTTCAGTGGATCAGCTCAAGGGAGGGAGCGGACCTCACCAGAATCTTGCAGTACCACAGCTTCTTATTCTTTTTTAATGCCAAAAAATGAGGAATGCCCCCCCAAGCCAGTAAATTAGAGCACAACCACACATGCAGCAGATGTGGCCCAGCAGAGGAGACAAAAGCTTCTCCCAAAGTAGAAGCAGGAACAACCAGCTAGAGGGAGGGGAAAACATCTAAGATCAGAGCTGCCACCACCCGTAGGGTGGAGATGGACCCCTGGCCTCACCTCTACATGTGGATTCAACCAGTTCAGATCCTATTTTAGGCTGCATATGGGGCTTTTCATCTTTGGAGTTCTTAACAGGCACGCGTTAATCCCCGCAACGCCCTTCCGTGGCAGATAAGTGTTTATTATCTCCGCTCTACAGCTGGTGGGACAGGCGCGGTAGGGAGCGGCTCATTGCAGACCCTGGGCAACCTCAGCTCCTGGGCTCCTTGGAAAGACACAGCAGGAGCACCTGGCTCGGGCTAACAAAGGGAGCCTCAGGGCAACTCCCCACGGAGCCTGGGCCACCTCCTGGGCCAGCGGGCAACTGGAACGGGGTGGAGATGGGCACTGTCCCCCAACCAGTGCTTTCCAAGGGAGGAAGTCAAAAGCATCTTCCAAACACAAAGCCCCAGGACACACCTCCACTGCCTTTGTGCAGTAGGTCAGGACAGCGGCGCTCATTTATTATGGGCAAATTAACGCCCATGGAGATTAAAGCTTTATCTCCCGCCGGCTCAGCCGCATCTGACTTAGCAACGTGCAGGGCTGGGCTGACACTGTGTCCCCGTGTTCTGGAGGAGCCACATCCCCACTGCACCTCCCACTCCCCAGAGTCCCAGCACCATGTCCTTCTATGTTGGGGACTAAACGTGCTCCCTTCCTCCACCCTTGGCTTCTCCATCCTATTCTGAGCTGTGCCTTGTGCATGCCAGCCTGCCTGCTCTGCCTTTTCTTGCCTGCTGAAGCCAGCGTTTGACAGACAAACACATAAAGAAGAACAGAAAGGGGACACGTGACCAACATCGATGTGGTCGCAATGCCCATGCATTAACATCAGCTTGACACTACCACCTCTGTGCAGCAGCAGACAAACAAGGCAAAGTGAAGGTCACCACCGTCAGTGTGAAACCACCAGCCCATCCCCAAACGGAGAGTGAATCAGTGCCGAGCCACCCAGGGAGGAGGGAGGATTTACCATGCACTTGGTTGATCTCCGAGTTGGACGACAGGATCTCATCTGCCAACTTCTGGGCGGTGGGCAGCACCTCGGTGTGGTGTGCCGTAATCAAATACTGAACAAACTTCTGGAGCTGGTCTCTGTTCATCTGGAAAAGGGTCTCTGAGATGGGAAGACGGAGTTTGACCTGGTCCGGCTTGCGGATCCTGTACAGCGAAAGCGCCACAACGTGGGCACAGTAAAAAATGTCCTTGTTCCCACAGCCGCATGTCACTGAGGTGATTTTGCAGCGGTCAAAGCTGATGGCCACTTTGTAGGTCATCTCTGGTTCTGTTGCAGTCGCTGGCTCTGTTACCGTCCCGCTGAGGTGGAACCCTGGAGAGGGAAAGGAGAAGAGGGAAAGGCCAACGTTAGCTTCCCTCTGGACACGACCACCCATGCAAACTCTGGCAGTAGGACACGGCCAGCCAAAGCTGCTCAGGCATCGCTGTGTCAAGGAACACAGCACCCAACGGACGCCATCCTGGTGGCTTACACCCAGCAACACCCAGCCCATGTACAAACGCACTCTTACACCGACACACACGCTGCAGCCAGACTCTTCGGTGAGTTTATTTAACAGCCAAACCCTCAGGGGACGAGCAAAACCGCCGGGTTCCCATTTGTTTAAGAGTCTCTCAGACTGCTTCCCTCCTGGGAGCCATCTTCATCCACGCCTCCCTCTCAGTGAATTTGCGACTCACATGAGCTAGGGCTGGCAGAAAAAGGCCGGGGTTTCTTTTCTTTGATGAGACAGACAAAAAAACCCACTAACTAAATACAAAACAACTCCAATTTCAGTCCTTAACCAGGTAGAACGCTCCAGGGCAGCCCTGAGCTCTTCCACACAGTGGGAACAAGGAGCAAGGCAGGAAGCAACGCACAGCCTGAACCGCAGGCTGGGAGGAGGGAAATGTTTATTCCTTCAGCTCCACAATATCTGCTGCTCCCCTGCAAGCTCTTGAGCTTTCCCTGACATATGGAACCAGCCACTCATTGGTGCGATCCGTGCATCGGTCTGCAGGGACAGCCCAAATCACTCACACAAACGTTACGATGCTCCCACCAGCACCTGCCATACCGTGAGGGGCTGCAGCAGCTTCAGGCATAAACCACAAAAAAATGTCCCAACAAGTCCCAGGTGTGGGCAAGGAGTGCAAAATGGGCTCAGAAGGTCCTCTGGGTCCAAAGAAGGTGGATGTACCAAGCAAGCAAGGGATAAAGTCAGCGAGAAAAGACTGGATGCCCATCAACCTCAATCTGAAAGCCCAGGGAGCCCTCCCAGGAGCTGGCTCCAAGGAGGGCCAACACAAACACTTTGCACTTGCCCAGCCACCTAGAAAAGGGACATCTTTGTTTCCCCCATCCATCTGCCTTGTTGCTTCAAGAACGAGGCCACACCAGGAGGTTAATTAATGTGTCTGAGGCTACCCTGTGCCCCCACGTCAGAGCCTGGGGTGGTACCTGGAACCTGGTGCCCCATGCCGCCCACCCCAGCCCTCTTCCCTGAAGAGGATGCTCACTTTTCTCTACATCACTGCAACCATGTTAAGCCCATGCTTTAGAGAGGTCCCTGCAGAGCCTGCCGTCGCCCCGGAGAAGGCGGCAGACAGCTGAGAGCCCTACAATTAGTGACAGAAAAGGAGAAGGGGTGGGGGGGGTGAAGATTAAAATACATTAACTGCATCAAACCCTTGTGTATTTGCCAACTCTCACAAAGGCTTTCCGAGACAAATTCTAGCAGAGGTTTTTAATAAATGGCATCAAAACCAGCTATTCACTGACAGTCTCTTTAAAGCCACGCCAAAAACCACATTCAAATCTGATTAACCGTCAAGGAGGTCTGCTTTCACTTTAGCGGAGGGGAGGGGGAAGCAGACCTGTTCTACTGCCATCATCGGAAACCCACGCCGCGCGTAGTCAGCAGAGCAGAAGGGGAGGGGAGGGACGGACAACCTGGCACTGCCCTTTCGCTCGCACGCTGCCGGGAGTGGAAGGATGGCTGCAGAGGTGCCGGGCTCGGCGCCACGGGAGCAGCGTGGCCAGGGGCTGACAAGCAGCCCCCCCTCCGCATGAGCCCGTCCCCCAGCAGCCAAACTATATAAATCCCGAGGATAAACTCCAAAGTGTTTATGTTTTACCACTTCTCTGGTCTGTAATGCTTGGCAGGCAGCTCCAAGTCACTGCCAGTTTCTCCCTAGTTTACTTTTTGAACAAGTTACAAGGACTGGAAACTACGTTCCTGAGCACGAATGTATGTATATAAGCGTATGTACACCCATAAGCACATATGCACATATATATAAAACCTTCTAAGACAAATTACTAGCCATAAATAGTGCCTTGAAACACTTACTTTAGCAGCATCATGGGCCAGACCCCACTTGGGGCTAACTGGTGTAAGGCTGAAGGAAGTCATTTAACCAAATAACCTGTTTTGGACAGGTAGAAGTCTGAAAGGATGTCAGCCATAGTCTGAATACAGCTCCTTAAGAGAGGAAATTTGTCCGGATACTTCCCAGGCTGCTCCCAGGCATCCTAAAAGCTGTGCTCCCCCATCCACTGTGCGAGTTGGTCCTCGCAACTCGTAGCCAGGGTCTGCGCATCAAACAGGACCGTTCAGGGCGTTGACAACTGCCAAGTTCATCTGGTACTTGAGCCCTAAGTCAAGTGTTGGTTTAGATTTTAGCTGTGGTGGCAGAAGGTCTATTTAAGATAAACTAGGAACTCTACACAAAACATTTATCAAAAGCTTAGTCAGAAATTAAGCATGGTGAGAGGGTGAGAGAGAGAAGCTGGCTGGAACAGAGACATTATTTGGGAATATTTACATTAACTAGAGGTCAGACTGCAGCTTCTACGCTGCCAGGTCTGCACCCCAGCACCCACGGATGCTGAGCATGCCAGCTCAGCAGTGACGGGTATCACTGCCCCAGACAAGAGTGGTGGTTAAAAGGTAGGTTATGGCGCTGTTACTCCATCATCCATCGAAGGACTCACTTCTGGTCCACACAAAACCCTGATGCTGCAGTCACCAAGAGGCTATAGGTCACCCTGGAGAAGGACAGCTGTCACTGTACCATCCTCTCCATTCATCTCGCATCCTAGAATACCAGCGATACCGGCACTTCAGCAGAGTGAAACACAGCCCTGGCTGCAGACACGGGGTCTGGATAGCGCTGAGAGCAAAAACATACTCTCCTCCATGTCCCCCCTGCACGTTTCAATTTAAATGTTCCTACAGCCGAGTGCTTATCTAGGACTTCATCTTCTGTTCCTTAACATAAGCTAACTTGCTGCTTGATTTGCTGCCAGCAAAGTGACAGTGCCAGGGCTTGAAAACCATGGAAAAGAAATAATTAAATACCATCTTTGTAACTGCAGACTCATTACACCCTATCAGAGCTGAGCTTTGTTCCAAGAACGACATTGCCTCCCCGCTGCCCCAGAACAGCCTCCCCTACTTTTAGCACAGATGCTCCCCAGTGGATGTCTCTTTCATCCAGGGTGCCAAACCAGCTGAGTGTTCAAACCTGCCCCAGAAAGAGCATAGAAAGGTGCCACAAATGTCCACAGGTACACAGGGCAAGATGAGCCCATCTTCCTAATCCCACTTACCCATCAAACAGGGACAAAATACCAGAGTGAGGACCTTGCATTAATGCAGCAGGATATTGTGCCTCTGATTTGCATTAAAACAGACCTTAGAAATGTCTTCTGGGAGTTTGTGAGCTCCACATTGGTGGCACTTCCAAACACCTCAGCTGGGCAACACTTTTCTCTTTGCAGCTGATAAAACCCACGTGCTGCGAGGAGCACGGATTCACAGGACGTCCCTGGGCTCTGAAATGGCTGCAAAGGACCAAGCCTTTAGCAGAAGCTCCAGCACAAGAGACTTTGCTATTAAGACAAGATCATCAAGGCCTTAACAGAAGTATCTTTAACCAAGATGGGGAATTCTTTGATCTCTAAATCTACTCAACCCAAAGGAGCTTTACAAACCCTTCCAGTTTTGTAAGAAAGAGCAGCCAGTCTTTCAGTTGGGCATTTTTAACCCAGATGTCCACAGGCCACCTGTCAGGAGAGACCACCAGACTGTCCTGCTGCTTCAACCCACCACCAGGCCAGCTTGGAGACCTCTAGTCTTGGGTCCTCCAGCAACCCACAGAAGGTAAAGCCAACGTTCAAGCTGATTACATTGAAATACCTGAAGTTCGGAGATAGGCAGACCACAGGTGGAAATTTAAACCCCAGAAACAAGCAAAACCCAGGCATAACCCCTTCCCTTAACAGTGTCATCAAGAGCCCTCCAACACCTGCAAGGAGGAGGATGGAGAGGAGGACCCCACAGTTACAAAACTAGCTGGGAACTCGAGGGCTCAGCTCTGCTCCCTCTGGCAGTTGCTGCTCACAGCCATCCCCCAGACTTCACACCACAGCCCAGGCAGAAGTCACAGTTGTCATTTGCAAAGTTGTGCCATTCGGAAAAATTCGCTCGCTCTTCCCAGGCGTGGCACTCACTTGCCTTTCACACAGCATTGGTGCAGTCCTGCTGAGGAGGCAGCCTGCATGCCAGAGCAGCCATCTCTAGAACCTGGCCCTGGACCAGCAAAGACCATCTGAGGTTGATGCACTGGTATTGCTGTGCAAGAGGATGGCCACCAGTAATGCATGGGTAAGGTGGGGAGCGTTTCTTCACGTCACTGTGGCTCCTCTGCAGGGTCTTCTTGGTCTTAGTGGAAATCACCAAGGGGGGCAAGGAACGGCTCTACAGAGGGAAACGGGCAACCACATCCTCCCCCCTGAGCAAGGACCACTGGCAGGATGCAGCCAGACACTATGCGAAGAACTCATCTGACATCTGTCTGACAAAAACTCAAGCAACCTCCTAGTAACCAAGGCTGATATTTTGGGCTGGCTCTGTTGGGAGCAATGTGATGAAGAATCCATCCACGCAGCTCCCAAAGGTATCAGCCGCATCCCCCGGCATCCCAGCCCGAGAGGGGCGGCTGCGGCGGGCAGCAGCTTGGCTCCTCGCTGCTCTTGTGCCTGGTACTCAGCTCCCAGGACCCCAACTCTAGTCAGACTAACCCCATTTCAAATCCGTGTTTGGGCAGCTTTGCCTTCATGCAGGCAGGAGCTCTGCAAAACCGATCAGGAACAAATACATGGATATTTATGGGTCTCAACTGATGCAGCCGAGGTAAACCAAAATCCTCAGTGCAAGTTGTATACACTAGGTTAACATGACCCAAAATTTTTTTTTCAAAATTTCCAAACCACAGCGGAAAGGTATTTTAAACTAAAGCGATTCCAAGCTCTTTAGTGATTAAACGGACTGCAGCTCCAGCTCCTAGTGGAAAAACCATTTGTTTTTTCCACTGTGTGAAAGCCATAACTAGCAATGAATAATAATTGCTGCACCCAGTGTTATTTATAAGCCATTCTTGGTCACATTTCTGTGCCTCAAAACAGCAGCCTTCCAAATGTGAACTTAGAATCGGTCAGTATTTGTAACGCAGACAACACCCACGGGAGGAAGGTGTTGGTGTGCTTGCGTGGTGGGAAGCAGACCTTAGTAAAATCTCCCAAAGCTTTCTAGCTACTAGATCAATTCCTCCTGCCGGCTGATGCTGACAATTGCTCAGTCCCTGACCTTGCAGTTGGAAAGGAGATGGGCTCATGAACTCATTTGCTCATGACAATGTTCCAGCAAAGTGAATCATCTGCCTCTGATAGTAACGGAGAGTACGGCGTGCCCCAGCCCTCCCGGGCTCCATTCAACCAGCGCGGGGCTGGCCTTTTGTGCTGCCAGTGCAAGAAAGACTCCGCTGAAGATGTGTGCAATTAAACCCACTTTTCTTGTTGCTCTTTTGATTCAGCACGGCTCAATGAGAGGCACCCTAGGCAGGTGTTGTCACACACAGATAAAATGTGCCTTTTCAGAGCTCTGGCGGACAAAAGGAAAGCGGGTAAGGCTGAATCAATTGCCATTTCTCCCTTGCAAAATAGGGAATCCAGGCTTCCAGCGAGTCAACGAGCAGAGCTGGTATGCGTTTACATCCTCCCTCCTCCCCAAAGCAATTTCTTTTTGTGACCGCAGGCAAAGGTGCTGCAGTTGAGCGAGACCTTGGCAGGGACGGAGGAGGCAGGCGATGGCTGGCCGGAGGATGCTGCCCCAGCGGAACGCAGCCACGCTTCCTCGGCTGTACATTTTCCCCTCTCAGCCCTCCTCCCAGTCCCCACCACGCTTTTGTCCTTTCCCAGTCATTACCACCCGGGAAAAGCACCTCTGGCCTTGGCAGCGCTAACGAAAACCATTAAAAGGGCCCTGTAAGGAGCCATGCCCCTGGTTGAGCTGACGCTGGAGGAGCAGTAACAAAGGGGCACAGTCGAGTTGGAGAGGATGCGCTATACCTGCAAGTGTCCCTGCACGCACCTATGGCCTCCGACACCAACTACCACATGTTTAGGAGAAATACT